TACAAGAACACTAGCAAAATACCATTACTGTAAAAAGATTGACTACTTTGTTGCAAGCATTTCAGCAAGTAACACATGTAATTACATTATACTATACATGTATTTTTATATAATTTACCATTTGTAATATTGTATTATTTAAATTTTTGTTAACATTGAGACCCGATCGGTGTCGAAATGTTTATTATTTATAATGTCATGTTTGTAATTTCAAAATAGACTTTTTTGTTTTTCATATTTCCGGCTCGTAGCCCTTCTATTTATTGAAATTATTTATTATTTATTGAGCCTTAATATTCTTATAATAAAAATAAAAAGTTTGATAGAATCTTAATTAGAATTTACATTTTAGCGCACGGATTTAAAAAAAAAAAAAAGAAAGAAATTTCTCTTATTATCATGTGATTTTTAAATCTATGTATCACATCTAGTACTAATACTATTTTTCATATTCATTTTCAAAAGTATAGATAGACATGGTAATTAAAAAAGTTTTTTATTTTTAATAAATTTCGCTCGTTTTTTGCAATGCAAATTAAATAATTAAACGATCTAAATCGAGCTAAATAGATTTAATAATAATCATTGTTCTTTAATTTTATAATATAAAACTAACAAAAAGAGTGTCGTACGTTTCGAAACTCACAGACATCATTAAAAGTTCGTCCGATCGAGTTGAACGCAGACGTTACAATGATAAAACGCAAAAGTATAATGTATCTATAATATAATTTATTATACTTTTGCGTTTGTAATGATGGTCTCACATACCTGTACAATGCACTCGCATTGAGAATAGGAAAATCAATCCAGCATAATCATTATATCAGCTGTCCGTATTGCATCGTCACACATCATAAGAGGATCAATCCAATGACAAACATCTGTAAAAATTGAAGAAGGATCTATGAGTTCCGAAACGCACGACTCTTTTTGTTAGTTTTATATTTAATATAAAATTTAAGAACAATTATATATATTATTATTAAAATCCATTTAGCTCGATTTAGACCGTTTACTTATTTAATTTTTATTTTTAACTTTATGTACAAAAAGATCTAATTCTTATATGTGTACATACTTTATATGTTTAAATGTTGTTTATACTGATGATGACCTGATGAGGGTAAAAACGTTTGTAATTTTTGTATTTTACATTTTGCTTATATTAAATAGCATCTCAGATCCTAGCTTAGATTCATAGTCTACTTAATTTCTGTTGCTTCATTTATATTCTTACTAATATTCTTTCGATATTATATAATTGAATAGAAATGTGTTTTTTAGATCACACATTCATCTGTTATCCATGAATATTATTATACGAGAATGTAACAATTTACATTTAAGTATTGATATCATATACTTACAAATATAACGAGAATGGCATTAAATTACACAGCTTGCGCATGTTTTTTGTTAGGAGTGGTAAGAAAAAGGTTCTATTTTTACATAGTTTAACGTTCAGGTTTGTTCTTCTTTACAAACTTTATTGACAATAGAAATTAGAAAGGCTACTACGCGTCTAAGCTAAAATGTATAAGATGCTCTTAAGAGCATCTTAGAAACGTTTGTGACTTTTGTATTTTACATTTTTGTATAAAATTTATATAAAAATGTAAAATACAAAAGCTACAAACGTTTCTATCTTTATCGGGTCATCATCAGTATAAACAATATTTAAACATAAATACGGCCGCGTATTGAGATCTACGTGTCACATATCTAGTACTATATTATCATATCCATTTTCAAAAGTGGATAGACAGTAAAAACTAAAAATATTATATATTTAATTATATCATCTAATTAGAAAGTGAAATTATTTTTTATTTATCATACCTTTTTAAAAAAATAACGGAAGAAGTATCCTTAATGTGTTCACGATATTAAAGATTAAAAATTTCCGCTGTCCTCACATCGCCAGGTTATAGACCGTTATATTTTGTATTATGTACGAAATAGATAAAGGCTCCGTATCTATTTGGAAGGGGAAAGAAAATAGTAGAGAAAGGGAAGGAGAGTGGGGAAGATTTGAAAAGAGGAAGAATCAGGATTGTAGTACCGGTAGATAAAGAACAGGCCTCATGTGTTTGTTCGTTTTTGACGACGGTGTTGCGTTGATAACGTAATAATCTTTTTAGGCCGGTATTCATAGTCGGTTCTTATTTCAAGACTGTCTTAAGTATGTCTTAAGATGCTAAAGCGGTCTTCTGATTGGTTCGTAACTCCTCAGACTGAAATTAAAACAATCTTGAATATAAGAACTGACTATGAATACCGGCCTTTGAGTGACACACGTAATCGATAATGTAGAAATCGTCGATGCCACTGCAGAATTTGCCTCGATTTCGCCGCGGCGGCGGCAGAGATCCGCGGGTGTGTGCGATTGGAAGGGAATATCGACCGTCGGAAAAATATGTACGGGTACCTGCAAGTTTTCTAGGAAATTCTACGAAATCGATTTCACGTCTGTGTACGTTTATGAAGACTCAACTCACACGACCGCACGATTGTATTTCGAATCAACCGGCACGCGTTTGAAGCTGTTGGAAGATCGCTGCGTTGGAACGGGACATTTTGCCTTGCATACGTCGTCTGAACGGATTCTATTTTCGCAAACCGTAGGTATCCGCGATTTTAACATTTTCACACATAATTAACCCCGCAAACGTGCGGCTATCTTGCAGAGTCATTTCCTCTCGTCATTAACATTCGCGCATTAACGTTTCGAGAAAGTTCGGCGTGTATTCCACGATACAACACTACCAAACTCGGCGAGACCAGGCCAGATTTGGTTGGATCGTCAACGTTGTTGTATCATCGCGTGGGAAAAGCTCTTTGATTTAATAAGCCTTTTCTTCTTTTCGCTCGCAGAGAATGGCCGAGGTAGATTTGACTCCAGCACAGGATGGCGGCGTGTTGAAGAAAATCATCAGGGAAGGAGAAGGAGAAGAGACTCCTATGAATCGTTGCAAGGTGAAGGTACACTACGTCGGTACTTTGGAGGATGGCACGAAGTTTGACTCTAGCAGAGATAGGAAGTCCCCGTTCACCTTTACTCTTGGAAATAACAGTGTCATCAAAGGATGGGACATCGGCGTTGCTACCATGAAGAAGGGTGAGATTGCTACGCTGACGTGTGCTCCTGAATATGCCTATGGCGAGAACGGTAGTAAACCAATGATTCCACCTAATGCTACATTGAAGTTTGAAGTGAGTAAATATTAATCGATACTCGCACGTGCATGCTGTTGATTAGTAATGTCAATGTTTCTTAAAAGATTAAGCGAATAGACTACTATAAAGAAAATGATCAGAACCAAATATTTCATCAATATGACACAATTGTTGAAAAGTTAAAAAATGTTTAATATCTTTTACATGAAGAATGTAATATTAACTTAAAAAATAGAAATAATCAATAATAATCGTTTAGTACTTCTAGTGTTAAAACAAACTGTGATCCTGTAATGTTTTATAAACGTATCAATCATTGGCTGTGTTTAGCAGAAACAGTAGCTTTGAATATTGTTGTAAAATTCTTTAATATGATTATCTGTATATAAATTAGCAAGGTTTTTATATATATTGTATATAAATATTTAATAGAATTATCTATATATACACGTTTTTGTGTATGTATGTGTGTATTGATAATCAGAACACTTATTATTAATCATATTCTATAATACATAACATATTTTAATGTTCTTCTAGCTTGAAATGCTTGATTGGACTGGAGAAGATCTATCTCCAAGTAAAGATAAAAGTATTCAGAGATTCCAAATTGTTCCTGGCCAAAAGTATGCTCATCCAGAAGAAGGTAGCACTGTAAAATGTTAGTATCACAATTCAGTAATCTAAAGTATGATGTACTATATATTCTTTACCTAACAAATTCTTTATGTATCCTTAGTACACTTGACTGGAAAGTACAATGGTCAAGTATTTGAAGATAGAGATGTAGAATTTGTTCTTGGAGAAGGAGAAGTTGTAGGAGTTGTAGATGGTATAGAAATAGCACTGAAGGAATTTTTGGAGGGTGAGAAATCTAGACTGCTAATTAGAAGCAAATACGCATTTAAGGAACAAGGAAATGTAGAGCTTAATATTCCACCGAATGCAGACGTAGAATATGAAGTAGAATTATTACAGTTTGAGAAGGTAATTATAATTATTGAAATTGAATGTTTGTTTCTAATTCTGTAACTTGCTTAATTATTAAATATTATTTTAAATATTATTAGGAGAAACAAATATGGGTATTGAAATCACACGAAAAGGTAGAACAAGCAAAGATGCAAAAAGAAAAAGGAACAAAGTACTTAACATCCAATAAAATCCATTTAGCTATTAAAGTATACCAAAAAATTTTCAATTATTTAAATGATACGACAGATTTCGAGGACGATCTCAAAAAGGAGAGAGATAGTCTCGTAATAGCGGCTCACTTAAACCTCGCTCTATGTTATCTAAAAACCAATGAAAACACTTTGGCTAGAGAAGAGTGTACTAAAGCTTTAGAACTGGATCCGCTTAATGAAAAAGCTCTGTTCAGAAGAGGTCAAGCGAATCTTGAGCTCGCATCACCTGAAGAGGCTATTAATGATTTCAAAAAGGTTCTAGAAGTACAGCCAAAAAATACGGCTGCGTCTAAACAAATTTTAATCTGCAATTCTCTTATTAAGAAGCAATTAGTTAAAGAGAAGAAACTTTATGCGAACATGTTCGATAAGTTTGCAAAGGAAGATAAACAGGTTTGTGAAAAACAATAATGTTGAATAATACTCTTGAGTCACAGATACTTTCTATATATACACTATACATTTCGTGAGTTTTCTCACGAAATGGGTGCCTTCCAACAAGCAACACAGATGACACGGTGACACAGTGTATCAATACATCCTTATTTTTCGCCAATGTTAACAAAGATGAGATGATCACTGTGTTGCACTGTGTCGCTTGTTGGAAGACACACAGAGAAAACCCGCAAAATGCATAATGTATATAATATAATGTTGAATGTTTTAATCAATATCTAATCTTGTTTATATGCCGAGCTTTCGTATTAATTAGTATTGCTCACAAAATTTATTATAAATATTTAGCTATTTATAACAAAAATTATTACTACAATTACTACTTGATTATCAATTATCCACGTTTTAGTACTGACAAAAATGCCTGTAGACTCTGCACTTGTCATAAATATTATGAATGATATAAAAAAAAGGCTGATTAATTTAAATCAAATAAATCTTGAAAATCACAACTTGTTAACGCGTTTACGTTTGACCATAAACCGTTAGTAATCTCATAGAAGGAGGAGCAAAAATTGAAGGAACAATCAGACGTGATGCATGGAACTCTAGGAGAATGGGGACAGGAAGAAAGACCTGGAGGCAGAGACGCAACTGCCTTCGAGAAGGAAAACCCTAACATACTTATGCTCAACGCTAATGGTTCTGGTGAATTCAAAAATATGTAAACAAATGACCCTCTCTTCTCTCTTTCATTACACTGCCCTGCGTAATCGATAAATTGAGGTATCTCGTCAGTCTTTATTTTCAGTGCCTTCTAAGTACTGTTACTTTTAATAAAAATTGCATGTCTTACAAGCTATATATATATATAACATTTCAAGCTATATATATAACAGTTCAATTTTAGCATGTAGAATTTATATGAGTCGATATATAAAAATTTTCTGTACATAATATACATGAGTACATTATAAGAATTTTTTCAACATAATGTCTTTTCAAATTTTGTTTACTTTCGTTTAAAAATTTAAATTTAGTCTGTTGAATTCTTAAAGATACAATTTTATTAATGCAGTACGATTGTTAAAGCCTCGTTACGTTACGCCTAATAATTGATACTGATCTCTCATCAATTTCTGATTTCTATAAAATTATGTGCGATAGTTAAATCATTATATTTCAAATTATGCCATTCCATTATAATATAGTGCCATTTGTTTGAATTGATGTAGTATTGTAGCACATTGATCATTACTGTGTACCTATATTGTAGATTTAAAAAAAGAATGATTTGAATTCAGTATATTCATTATACGAGGGTTAATCTAAAAGTAAATTTTCTTATTTTAGGAAAAATAAAAATCTGTTTAAAGTCTTTTAAAAATCTGAAAAAAGAATTATTTTAACTCATACTTCGGTTGTTTTTCATTTAAAAATCGATATTTCTTTTCGGTTTGTTAAATCGTGAAAAAAAAATTTTATGTGCCTTGTACCACAGCGAGTCCACCATTTTTGCGATCCGTCTACGATCAAGCAAGAAATAAGTCCCTATTTTTTTCACATAAGAAACAACCTTGAAATGCGTTCAGAAAACGTATAATGAGTTAAAATAAATTTTTTCAGATCTTTAAACTTTATCTTTCAATTTTTCCTAAAATAGGGAAACTTATTTGTGGACTAACTCTATATATGATTAGTCTTCGTAAATAAATGCGTATAAAATCAGAAAAAAAATTTGTATATCATTGTAAAAGATATTTGTAAAATTGATTATAATATACAGGTCACAAATATGTAAAATAATCTGTTAACGGTATACATTTTTTCTTGTGCCACTAATTCGTAAATTATGTATAACGTTACAAAATTAGAAAAGAGCATTACAAAATTAAATATAAAAAATCTGACGAAAATTCAATGTCATTTTGTTATTATATCATAGCAATCTCTAATCCTTTTACCTATAATTTTTGACCAATAAACGAAGAATTCTTAATCAATAAATTAGTATAACATAAATTTATCGGTTACATATTTTACATGACGAACTTACGTATAATACTTATTTCTAGCATACAGATTGATTTTTTATATCTCAGATAAAATATTTTATACATGTAACAAAATAATTTTATATTATTTTTTTATTTGTATAATGTCATATTTTTAAATAACGTAATATATATTTTTGCAGCCAAAACTCTCTTAAAATATGTGTAACTCTTCAAATATGTTGCACTTTAATAATTTACACTTCAGACTTTTGTAAAAATATTCATAAGGAACTATTGCTCCAGTTTAAATCTATTTATTATCCTTGATTGACACAAAGTTAACTATTGATTACAATATAAAATAGGACTGTCCATCTTTATTGACATTTTAATAAACTGTAACTATCGTTCTTATATTAGTACAATTGATATTCAATAGCAGTGGCATAGTCCAAATATGCGATATGCACAATAAATTGTTGTATTGTATAATTTAGTGAATTGATTTGAAGAATTCAGATAATTCAGTGAATTTTCCAATAAACACGAACTAATGTAACGTCGATGTTATAATTTTTCAATTTAAATATAACATGTACATAATATATATATATATATATATAAAATTTTATCAACATCTCGCAGTTATCGAATAAAAGATGATATATTTATAATATATTAATAAAAATATATATATATAATTCGAGTTTTCAATATATTTTTAATTTTCAAGCAATATATATGTCGCAGCCTTTTCGTGAAATCCGCCTTTTTGCAAAAAGGCTGCGGCATACAGGACACGAAATAAACTTCGATGGAATTTTAATGGCAATATAAAATTAAAATTTAACGATAACATAAAAATTAAACATTTTAAAGTGATCATTGAAGTAAACATTTCACTTATTAAATATTCAGCCTACTCCATTGTCTAGACGTGTCGTCTAGACCTGATAAGTTATCTGCAGTGTTAGTACGTTAACATGCATACACACGTATATGCCCCCAGGAACGGCTTTATGATCTTTCGAGCCATTGTAAAGGGACCGTCAGGATTTTACGCAACGCGACCGCCGGCTGGCATTCATTCAGAATGATAAAAATCCAAATCGAACGCTGACCTTGCAGTTGCATCGCGATTTCCATCAAGTAGCAACTCGATAAAAATCGTAATGGAAAACGGCAGATCCTATAAACCTTGGAAACGCTCGGAATTGACACATAATTAATGTCATTCTACACGAAAAGTAGCTAAAAATTTAGCTAGACATAAATCTAAAAATAATTCTATTGGATCATCAAATAATGTTTTAATGATCCAATGATTTTCAGATCTAACTAAATTTTAGATACTTTAGAAAAATTGTTCTTTTCATATACTATCGAGATATATGAACCACCAATTAATTTCGACAAGTGGATGTCCGGCAATACTCTTTGATTTTTTAATATATTCATTTTCTCAGTATTTTCTCTGAGTACTTTATAAAATGGGTAATCATGATTACCGATTCTTATAGTTGAGAATGTCTTATGGGCCTTCTACAATAATTACTTAAGTTTTAGGTATTAAGTCATAAGAAATTGATCAATCACAATCGAATGTGAGAAGAATAATCGACTGTGAGTGATCAATTTCTTACGACTTAAAATACTTAAAACTTATAGGTAATGGCTTATTGTAGAAGGCTTATTAAATACACTCTTAAGGTATATCATAAGCCGTCAATTAGAGGGTTGCAGTATCATCTCAAGATTAATATACAACGGTCTCAAAATAAGAACGGACTACCGCCCTTAGAGCGCCCGCAGACCGCACCGTCCTGGTTCGATAAGAGGGGAGACAGAGAGAGAGAGAAAGAGAGAGGAGGATAAAAATAGCTCTCCGTCTTCCTTGCGCGTATCAAATGTGCCATGCCCGAGTATGCCAGAGCCAGTGGAAGAACGTCCGCGGTCACGGGTTATTCGTTCTCCCCAGGCCCGCAGTGCGTTCTCGGTGCGTGGCGAGTGAACGAGACCGAATAGTCCCCTCTGTTAAGAAGCGAAAGTACCGCCGAGGGTGGTTCCGCACCGTCCGCGATGCCGAACATAATAAATGATATAAAGCTGGACTTTAAAGACGTGCTGCTGCGTCCGAAGCGGAGCACTCTGAAAAGCCGATCGGACGTGAGTATCTTTTATATAATTTGATATATAAGTCGCCGTTTTCTATGCCGCGTCGCGAACAATTACACGCGTCTTCGGCGAGAAAAGAGAGAGAGAGAGAAGGAAAAGGAAAAAAAAATGCGATATCCGTTGCGCAATACTGCAAGTCATAATATATATATATATATCGAGTATATTTTCGGGAATGAAGATGTTTGATTTTAAATTCGATCGTTCAAATTGCACGCGTGTACGTGCGTGCGTGCGTGCACAATAAAATTTATACGGCAGACTGCCGTCGGTCGAGTCGGCTCAATTATACGCATCCTGGCAGAATTAATGTTCGCACGAATCGAAGCTCCCGAATTTATGGTCCCTCTCAGTCGTAAACTTTCTCTATTGATTTAATTCTCGTGAACACGCTACCTCGGATTGATTCCATTGTTCAAATTTATGTCGACGAAGTGACGACCCCATACATCCTGCATATTTTTAGGAAAAAATTTATATAAATTAAAGAATATAACAAGAATTATTAACAGGCGTCTGTTTTTAAATTTTATTAAATTTTATATTTATTTTTAATTAATGACTGTTTATTACTAAGACCTTTATATTTTAACTAATATTTGGCTCGTAGCCCTATTTTATATTAATTATTTTTTAAGAATTATTATTATTATATCTTTATAATTTTTTATTATAATAAGATTATTAATGACATTTGCATGTATTATGTTAAACCTTTTAATTTTATTCATTTAATACACATATATTTCTGTCTTAAGTCGATATTAATAAAATAGTTTTTGTCGTTTTTATATATCTTTGTTGTATGTAAAAATATCAAAGTATAACTTCGATATTTTTTCATTATATATAATTATATAATATGTACATAAATATATATTTTTTTCTGCACATTAAATCACCAATTTTATATAACAATTTTTTATATATAAATATTATATATATTTGTATGAGTTAAATATACTGTCCTTTCATTTAACATCTATTAAAATGAAAATAAATATCTTCTCTGATCCTTCGACTGTTATTTCAGGTAGACCTTTTCAGAGAAATTACGTTTCGCAATTCTAAACAAACATACAGAGGCATTCCCGTGATGGCTTCTAATATGGACACAATTGGAACGTTTGAAATGGCGAAAGCACTATCAAAGGTAAAATAAATAAATTTGACAATCTTATTTCTCGAAATAAATTGAAAAATCTCTTATCGGATTTAAATGTTAAAATTTGTCAATAGAGACCCTCCGTCTCTCATGTATACATATATATATTTTTTTTTCATACGTTAAATAAATAAAATACATTATAAATTAAAAATTGACTTTGACCGTTATTGATTTCCTTCTTCTTGTTTGTTTATTGTTTATCAATTGTACGGTCTTAAAAAGATTTTAGTATTTGATAAATTAAAAACTTGTACGTGCAACACATTGTTAATATATTCATGAAGTCATGTAAATAAAATTGTTTGGATACATGTATAATGCGTCGCCTTACTTATTGTACCATTCTTTTATATAGCATGGTCTTTTTACTACGGTTCATAAATATTATACCGCAGACGAATGGAAAGACTTTATCGCGTTAAATCCTGATTGTGCAAAGAACGTAGCAGCAACTTCGGGAACAGGAAATGAAGATTACGAGCGGCTTTCGAGCATTTTGGAAGTCGTGCCGGAATTATCGTTCATATGTTTAGATGTTGCAAACGGATATTCACAACATTTCGTGGAGTATGTGAGAAAAGTGAGAGCGCGATATCCGAATCACACAATAATTGTAAGTACAACTGAATGTCTCGTTATCTTTATTATTAGTACAAAGTGTCCCAAATTTAATTTGGCCGAACTTCGGGAGTGATAGAGAATCTCAATAAACTAAGAAAATATTATGCTCGTTTTTGCTTCGTTTTGAAGAAAATCATAAAAAAACAAAACAATTCTCGAAATACTATTTCGATACAAAATATTGTTTTTATACACAATTTCGGCGATAATGCTTCAGAGATAATGCGAGGGTATGTGCGCGCCGATTTCCAGGCAAGAGTGCTGGATCGGCGAGTCATTATGTTGATCAATGCTGCAACATATGAGCTGTTCGAAGATGTATTGCTATAAGAGGTCAATATTTTAGATAGCGTGTAAAATAAAATATTATATAATATTTTCATTATAAACATATCTAATTTTTATTTTAAATTTTGTTAAATTTTCTCGATATTTTCTTCAATATTATACTTTATTATAAGCTGTTTGAATTTAATGACATACTGTATCTGCATTAAGTAAATGAATGACAACGTGAATAAGTAAGCGTGAATGAATAAGTAACAAATAGATATAAAAATAAAAACTACGTTTTGTCAGTTTTTTTAATGATTTCTCCAAAACTGAGCAAAAACGAGCATATCTCTAAAGAAATTTTTTCTTAGTTTATCAATTTCCTATACACTTCTAAAATTTGGCAAAATTTAAATCCAGGACACCCTATATATAAGCTTATTTAAACGCCAATGCATACTTCATATTTAAACGTAAAAATGAATTGCTGCCACTACAGGCAGGAAATGTTGTAACAGGAGAAATGGTAGAAGAACTAATACTCTCAGGAGCGGACATAATTAAAGTAGGAATTGGTCCAGGTTCCGTGTGTACAACGCGGATGAAAACTGGCGTCGGTTATCCACAATTGAGCGCCGTAATTGAATGCGCGGATGCGGCGCATGGCTTGAAAGGGCATATTATTGCCGTAAATATCTTATATTTTTTATCACAAATGACATGAATAATCGCTGAAAGATCTCGCTTTTATGTTTAAGTGTTAATGTTTATTATTCACAGGACGGTGGGTGTACCTGTCCTGGAGATTTAGCGAAAGCATTCGGTGGTGGCGCGGACTTCGTCATGGCAGGCGGGATATTCGCGGGTCACGATGAATGTGGGGGCGAAATTATAGAAAAGAATGGAAAGAAGTTCAAGCTTTTTTATGGGATGTCCTCCAATACAGCCATGATGAAGCATACCGGTGGTGTTGCAGACTACAGGTGAGATTACAAGTTATAGTGCTACAAACAAGTATATGCGTTGAGATAATTAATTCTTACTTCAATGCAGAGCTTCGGAAGGGAAAACTGTCGAAGTGCCTTACAGGGGTTTAGTCGAAAACACTGTGCTGGATATACTAGGCGGTTTAAGATCTGCCTGCACTTATATAGGAGCCCAACGTTTGCGCGAATTACCGCGACGGGCGACGTTTATACGCTGCACACAGCAATTAAATCCCATCTATGGACCACCCCCAGAAATATAAAGCTTATAATTATTAAATTGTGCTCCTTAGTAAAAGACTTAGGAAAGAAATGTTTTAACGTCAATATTTGATCGTGTATTATTTGCTGGCAAATAATATTTATATATGAATGAAATGCAGTCTTATAAAATGTTTATCGCTATATTGTGTAATGATGTTTAAGTATTACGAATTAATCCTTAAATATGCTCAAATGGAAGAACGTTATACAATAATCCTTCATGCACAAATAAAGAATTTCGTTACATTAAGTCACCGTTTTATATCATTGAAGATTTCTGTTATCGAATAACTAATCGTACATCATTATGTATCAATCTATCGTACAGCCATAAATTGAGATGTTTAATCTTTCTACTTTTTAATTATATAATACATTTCATATTTAAACAACGAATGAGTAGTACATATACTTTATACGTTTCGTTGTTCTTTTTATTGTGAAATATGAATATGCACATGTGTATTTTACAATCCTTATATGAAATCCTTATATGAAATGTGCAATGTACCTATAAACTCTACTTTCTGTTTAATATTTTACAGAAGTATTTATAAGTGGAAATCTTTTGTACGTATTTGTTATTTGCTTCTCTTGATCAGAGAAACTGGAAAGTTTTCTGTTGCGCCTGTCCCTGAAACATTTGCCAATGTTAATTAATTATGTGCACAAAGTATAAAATATAACAGAAAAATATTTTAACTGATAAAGATTTATAAGTACACATAAAAAAAAAGAAAAACATTAATGTGCTATTATAAATGAAATAAAAATATAAATCATGAGGTTGTAAATACCAATAGAGGTTTGACAATATAATTGATTAAGATACTTGCCAATAATGTATATGGAGTATAACAATCGCCCTATTTATATTCTGTCATATTTTCTATATTATAATCACAATAAACAGATTTCGTATAAGACATTTGAGACTCGTACATAAATAATCCTCAAGTATAATTAAACGTAATATATAATCCATGACTAAAGTTTCTGTTTCTTTACTTATAATACATGTCTTATCATATTTTATTATTCTAATTTTATTTAACAATTAATATCTATGTGAAGTAATATTATATTATAAATATGAAATAATGCGTAAACAACGAAAAATTTTCATATTGTGAAAGACGAGATATTTATGAGAATTAACTGATTATGTATTAATTTATTAAATAAAAATGTAAATGTCTAAATAATGTAAAAAAATCATGTAATTATTGTTATATATTTTTTTTTTGTTTAATACCTTATTCAAAACATTTCTCGTGTAAAATAAATGTATTATAAATATATTTTAATTAAATTATAAATATAATATCGAAATAATGCCACAGAATATACCAAATAAAAACGTAAATTGTTTTATTAACAAATATTAATGCATGGAAGATATATATAAGTACTAACATAAAAAAAGTGTTACTTTCTACATATCTAGATACATATTTCTTATGTTACATCAAACATATAAGTAACAAAGCCAAATATAAATTTATACAAATGTATATAATTCATATAAATTTATATTAATTTTGAAAGAATTTCCTTTTTTCATTTTAAGAAATGACGAAATTTTTTCAAATTTCTAAAGTAATTTATTTTTTTTTTGAAATAATATAATATAATTGTATAAACATAAACATATTAATTTTCTATGAAGTATCATATTTAAAAAAAAATGTGTAATTTTATAATATTACAATCAAACTGTAGTTGAAGATATAAATTGAATTTTTAACAGTTTGTAATTTCATATTGCATTAAGTTAAGGAAAATAGTAATATATATAATCATTCCTACCTAACTTTTAATTGTAACTGAATAAAATTACTGTAACAAAATACTTAGATTTTTATTAACTTTTTTTCACCGAAAAATGAGTATAGATATGTGTTAAAAGTTTATAGATATTTTACTATTTATGAATATATCTAGAAAGATAATTGGATATTAGACATATTTCAAATTTTATCTCTTTAATCAGTTAATGTATTATTTTATACAGATTGTTTCAAACATTGCATATATTATAGACAAGAAATATTAAAGATAAGATCACACACAAAAAGTACAATAATTGTATTAATAGGGAAGCACATTGATATATATAATGGAATTAAATTTCTAATTAAGATTGTGTTGAAATAAAATTAATCTTCCATCAATAGCAAATAAATGCTAAATCAATAGCAAAGTAAATTTGATTTTAATACAATCTTAATTGTAAACTTTATTTCATTTAATATAAGAAATAAAGACTATTAAAAGAAGTTTTGTATCTGACAAAATTTTTGCCGATGATCAAATTTACCAAAATATTTATAGTTCGAATAAACAGCTTCCAACCTGAATGAATACATTCTGTATCCATTTATATAAATTAATTGAAACACGTAATAAAAAGACATACAAAAATTTGAAATATTTTACATATGACTAGTTAAGTCTTTTGATATACTTAATTACTCGGAAAGAAAAAGCCAATATACTTTATGTATATCGTATAAAAGCACATGTAATACTGGCTAAGTAATATTCAGAATATTATTAGTAAATTATATTTCATATTATGAGTTATGTATATCCCGTCCGACTAATCTCCGGTTCGCAGGTCCTGATTCCTTTGTGTACATGTAGATTAATGCTGAATGAAACATTTAAACTGTAGATGCCCCATGCCATATTGTAGGACGGGTAAACCTCTCTAATTGGCTGCTCCAAATATCTAAAAATAGTATTGGTGTTTCACGAGAAAGCAAACGAAAAACCAAAAGTAACATTGTATTTAACACAAGAACATATGCATATATAAATATCATATTATGCATCTTTCGTGTATACATAATAGAAGAACTTTCATGGATAATGAAATACATGGCAGCTGTATCAATTATAGCATTTCGTAGTCAAGAGTTTTATAATTATAATAAAACACGAGTGTTTCAGATAAATAAGTGTCTTATCAAGATATATGTAATAATCTATTATAGTAATATATCGTTCGTAACAACGCATTTTTATAAGGATATAATTTAACAAGTTTAATGAAAGAGAGAATAAGATGGATAGATAGATAGATAGATGGATAGATAAATAGATAGATAGATAGATAGAGATAGATAGTGGATGGCAATAAAATGGTATAGATGTCGATCCCTCGTTCCACTTTTTGACCCGCTGCTTCACCTGCCAGCTTTAACTTATATTACAATAATACATGTTATGGAACAAAAATACATACAATATGATAAGTAAATAAAAAAAAACAGATATCATATTGATACTATTTATAATATTAATTTCAATCAACTTCTCTTGCTCGATACTTTTACTAGTTACTTAAACTTAAAACAATGGATATCCTATAGTATATATATATATATGTATATATATGTGTGTATTATAAAAAACACAAAACGTTTTATAGTATAAACAGAATATAATCGATTCTCAAAGATATATGGAGATTATGAAGCAGTTAACTAGTTATGATAAAAGTATATGGAGATATATAGCCAGATATATTAACCGCATCCGGATGGAAAGCTATCTGAAAACTATCTGAAATAAACAAATAATTATGGTAAAAAGGGATGACCCATATACACAAGAAACAAATTTTATTTCAAAGGTGTAAAATATACCGTTTTATATATATATATTAAAATCATCATATGAACCATGAAATTATAGATTTTATGTTTTGCAAAAGTTTAATTCAAATTCCCTGAAAGAGGTTCAATGAATATCAGTAGATAATATTTCCTTATTCTTACACCATTGATTTATAATATGTCGGAATATCAAGCCAATATAAAGATGAGTATCAAAAAAAATAATATAATAAAAAATAAATAATTTAACCATATTAAGTAACTATTAAATTATCAAATGTTCAAATAGAATAATAGACTGTATATAAATAAAATAAAAATTATGATTACTTCTTGATGTTGAATTTATATATTTTATCAATATATAACAACACTCAAATTTATATCAGTTTAATATAACAACTATAGCATTTAGAAAATTATATGAACTTTAATCATAATCATTATTTAAAAAATTTTTTATTTAATAGCTGGCACTATCAAACAAAATTACTGGATTTTTAATCTACTATGTGAAACTAAAGGTTTTTTTTTTTTTACAAAACTATTGCCAAACAAAAATAAATAAACTAAATTATAATAATCAACTTGATCTGTATAATACATTGTTAAAACTATATGCTTCATACAATTTTCAAAATGCTTATTCGTATATATGTACATATACATCGTACTAAGATTTACTTACAGCTTGCCTTTCTTTCAAATGGAAGTTTAATTCTCAGAAGTGGACTGTGTATATGGATAATTCTGATATCCTGTTGGGAAAGATGGGTTTTGCTGTCCTGTCTGAGGTTGAGAATTGGATCCAGTATTCGCTGCGTAATAACCAGTTGGTGCGGAACCAGCATTCATCGTTGGATAACTTCCATAAGCTTGAGGAAATGCATTAGGCGTGGTACCCGGTGGACCAGCCGATTGTCCCTGAAGAGTCTGCATTTGTTGCTGGGCCATTTGGTTTCCTTGTATTCCAAGCTATAATAATATACCGAATATTACATACATATTAAAATACAACACATTAAGGCACAACAATGAATATCATGTTTTAAGGAAAATACCTTGCCCGCTTTCATTTGAGCTTCTATCGCTTCCGCTTCTTTTATTTTACCGATACTTCTGTAATATTCTGCCCATTGCACGCTATAATCAGCTTGACCGCCATTTTGTGCGGCACCTGCCTGCTGTTGCTGCTGCGTCTGTTGTTGCGGCTGTTGATTTGGTCCAGCGGTACCCGTTGTTGCTGGATTAGACTGGTTTTGTGAATTGCCTAAAATATTTTAATAATATTTTGCTTAGAATATTTTAGTATTTTATAGAATATTTTAATAACATTTGATAGAATTTGGGCAAAAAATTATACTACAAAGATTTTCTTTACATAACATTGTAAAAATTTTTACCTCCTTGCTGATTGTGATCTTGCTTTCCTTGT